TTCATTCATTCATTCATTCATCCCTCCTCTGCTCACTCATTTGTTCCCTCACGCATGATGCCACAAACACGGTGCGCTGGCCTCGGCCCTGACTGGAGGCACGGTGCTTCGAGAGAGCTGGGAGAGCTGGTGTGAATTCTTGCTGCCCGGCAGCCGCGTGGCCTGGGTAAGGCCACGGCCTCTTGTGCTCAAGCTTTACTGCTCGTGCCCAGACAAAAGGGCCCCTCCTCAGCAGCCCACGCTCTCGGTTCGCTGCAAAATGGACAGAAGGGGGCTGTGGCCCTGCAAGGGGCCTGCCTGGGGGTGAAGGGGGCTGTGGCCCTGCAAGGGGCCTGCCTGGGGGTGTGGGGGGTGGGGAGCTGCCCTGTGGGGCCTGTCCATCCTCTGACTGCCGCCAGTCCCATGGGGGGCGCTGGGAGCACCGTGGCCTGCCCCTAGAAGCAGGGAGCCTCAATTTGTGTTGAGCCGCGACCTTATGGGGGCTCACAGCTGGTTCGCGGAGGGGGGTGGCCGAGGGGGTGGGAGGGAGGGCGCGGATTCCAGAGGGGGCCAGAGGGGTGGAGGACTGGTATCCGGACGAGGGGCCTGACTGGGTGAGCTGGCTCGTGCACCAGCCTCCAGGCAGTGCGGGCGCCTGGGGAGGGGGCGGGGTGGGCCCAGAGAGCGGTGAACCCGCCCCAGCCCCCAGTGCAGCGTCCACACCCCCGACCACCGCGCGCTCTGCCTCAGGGGATGACCGCAGCCTGTCCAGCTCGTCCTCGGAGGCCAGCCACTCGGACGTCAGCGCCGGCAGCCGGCTCACCGCGTGGCCGGAGCCGTCCTCATCCTCGGCCAGCACGTCGCAGGAGGGCCCGGGGCTGGCGGCTGCCCAGGCCTCCGGGGAGGTGGCGCCGGGCACCTCGAGGCCGCCCCCCAAGCCGCTGCGGCCGCGGCAGCTGCAGGAGGTCGGCCGCCAGGGCTCGTCGGACAGCGGCATCGCCACGGGCAGCCACTCCTCCTACTCAGGCAGCTTCTCCTCCTGCGCCGGCAGCAGCCTGGACGTGTGGCGTGCAGGGGACGAGTTTGGCTCCCTGCTCAGCCTGCCGCCGGCGGCCGGGGTGCCTGAGCCTGGCCTGTGCGCCTGCCCACCGGGGACAGCCGAGTACCAAGTGCCCACGGCCCTGCGGCACCATTATGACACGCCGCGCAGCCTGCGCCAGGCCCCCAGGGACCAGATCCCGGCCGTGCAGGGCGGCCCCGATGACGGTGGGGCCGGGGACTTGGGTGGCCAGATGTCTGCGGGGTGTCCCTCCGGCTGGCTGGGCGCAAGGCGGCGGGGACAGGCGATGGAGGCCCTGGGCTGCGAGGCCCCTGGCGAGGGCTGGGAAGCAGGCAGCCCCCACGCTGGGCCTCCTGCAGCTTTCTTTTCCACCTGTCCAGTCTGTGGAGGACTCAAGGTAAACCCCCCTCCCTGAGAGCCTCAGGCCAGGCCCGCTGCCGCGGGGGAGGGGTGGGGGGCTGGGTTCTGCCCCTCCAGGCAGGAGGGGGCGGGGCGCCCTTTGTGCTGTCAGTGAAGTCAGCAACTGTGGGCACAGTGGGGAGGGCCTGGAGGGAGGGGTGACAGCCCCAGAACCTGCCCTCTGGGGAGCGGAGCCTGCAGGGAGGGCCCCCAGGACCTGGAGAGGCCCAGCAGCCTGCCGCTGAAATGCGTTCTGGAAAGTGGGAAGCTCGGGGCGGGGCAGGCTGGGGGCCCATGGAGTCCCAAAGCCCGAGCGAGGATCAGGTGCTGGGGGCACAGGCGGGCGCTGTGTCCTAGCCAGCTCGTGCCAGGCCCTTGGGGTGATCAGGGCTGGGAGGCCCCTCGCTGGCCGCGGCCTCCCCCCGTCCTGTTCCACCGCCTACCTGGTGGACGCCGTGCTTAACCTCTCAGATCCGTCCCCTCCATTGTGCACGGTCAGGCTGTCCGCTAAAAGTCAGCTTCCTCCGCAGCAGTTGCAGACCTGGATTCCCGGGACAGGCGTGTGGCACGGGGCGTGCAGGACAAGCTTCACTTGTCTGCCCCATGCCTCCTCTGTGAAGCAGCGCCACAGGGGGCCCATATGACAGGGCAGGAAACTGAGGCTCAGGAGGTGCAGGGACTTGTGGGGTCTGGGTCTCCTGACTCGTGGACCTCCATGGCTCACCCACCGGGCTGTTCCAGAACCTGCAGGCTCCCGGGCGAGGGGTGGGCAGGGAGGGCCCCGTGGCAGCCCCCCACTCCCCGGTGCAGGGAGCAAGGCGGTGATGTCCTTGCATTGGCCAGCCCAGCAGGGTCAGCTTGCCCGGAGTCCCCTGTGAGGGCCCCGGAGGCTGCAGCTCACGCCCCCGCCACCCTCCTGGCTGAGCCGGAGCCTAGTGGTCGGGACCAGAGGAGGCCGGGGCTCCGAGGGCCCGTTCATTTGCATTTGGCGGGCACGTGGGCGGCCCAGGGGTAAAGCTGCTTCCGGCGCCCTCCGTGGTCTGTCTGCTTGCCTGCATGGCAGCTGCCGTGCCTGGTTTTGTACATTCGTTCTGCAGTTCCGTGCCCCCGCGAGAGGCGGGGCCCGTGCCCATGCGGTTCCAGACCCGGGCTGGCGCCGTCCTGCGCCGTCTGGAGCCAGCCCCCAGCCGGGGGGCAAACAGCTCGCCTGTAAAGATTTTGCTCTGTACCTTTCCTGTCGGCTAAAGACCTTTGTTGCTCTCTGACATTTTTAAAATCTGACACTTTGTAATACATTCTTAGACTGGAAATAAAATGTTCTTTTCTTACCGCCTTGTCCTTTTCCATTTACCAGCCTCCCCACCTCCCGCCCCGGCCCTCCTGGTGGGGCCTTTGACGGTCTCCAAAATCTGGGGGCCCAGCCCCCAAGCCTATGGGTCTCAGGGGCCAGCATGAGGCCTCGCCTGTGTGGTCTGCCTTAAGCTCGAACGCACTGCACTGGAGGCCTGAAAAAGGAGCGGCAACTCCCGACAGCCCATGGGGCCTGTGTGCGTGTGTGCGTGCACGCACACTCGCATGCGTGTGGTGTGTGCGTGTGCGCACGTGCGTGATATGTGCGTGTGTGCGATGTGCGCGTGTGTGCATGCATGCGCACTTGCACGTGTGTGATGTGTGTGCGTGCATGCGCACTTGCACGTGTGTGATGTGTGTGCGTGCATGTGCACTTGCATGTGTTTGCGTAGTGTGTGCATGTGCACTTGCATGTGCATGATGTGATGTGTGCATGTGCATGCATTCGTTTGCATGTGTGTGCATCATGCAGTGTGTGTAATGTGTGTACATATCCTGCGTACATTTGCGTGTGTGTGCATGGTGTTTGTGCATGTCTGAGGTGGAGTGTGTGCACACGTGTGTGCGTGTGTGGTGCGTGCCCAGGAGTGTGCATTTGTGTATACGGATACGTTTGTGTGGTGTGGTGTCCATGTGTACAGATGCACACGTGTGCACATGTGTGTGGTCTGAGTGATGTGTGTGCACATGTATGGCATGTTCCCCTGTTCACTGGAGGCCACGGGGAGGTCCTCGGTGGTTGCTTGGGCTCAGGCAGGTGGCTCCCCGTGTCCAGGTGATGCCAGGGAGAGTCCTGCTCTGTGCCTGGAGCCCCCACCCCCTCCCATCTCCCCCCTTTGGGTGGCAGAGCCCCAGGGACCCCAGCTCACGTCTCCTGCATGTCACGGGGACCCACGCCCTGCCCTGTCACACTCCCATTTTCACCCTTGCTCACCGCCCTCCCGGGGGGCCAGCTCTGCGCCCCAGAGTTGGGAGCTCTGGGTGGGGTTCCTGCAGCGTGAGGAAAGCCAGGCTTTGGGGGCTGAGCGGCAACGGCCCCGCCAGCTGGGTGGCCTCAGGCAAGTTACTGCACCTCTCTGAGCCTCCGTTTCTTCCTGCATAGATGGGGACAACAGTCCTTACCTCCCCAGACACACGGAGAGGGTCTAATGAGGTGGTAGATGCACATGGGCAGTAGATGTCTATTCACGGGATGCCGTCACTAGACCCGGGGTGCCCCGGCCAGTCTGGCTGCAAAGGAAATAAGGCTGTGAGCTGCAGCGCCGCGAGACGGGGGGTGGGGGTGGTGTCTGCTCCTGCCGGGGCCCCTCATTGTCTGGGCTCAGTCCTGCTGCACTCGCACGGGTCCCCAGCCCCAGACGGGAGGGGTGGGCAGGCGTCTGCAACCAGAGGAGGGAGGGGCCCACGGGAGTGGCCACTGAGCACTGTGGCCCTCTGGGGGCTGTTGGTGGCCAAGGCATCTTGTGGGATGGCGTGGCTCCGGAGGAGGAGGGCCTGGCCCTCCACAGTGAGTGTGTGCCTCAGCTGCCCCTGCACCCCAGGGCGGCCCTGGGGATGGGGTCCGGCGCTCAGGGGCCGTGCCTGCTGGGGCCGGGCGCAACCAGAGTGGGCAGACCCGTGCCAGGAGTCCTTCCTCCTTGTCTCTTCAGGGCGTGTGCAGCCCACCGGCCCAGACCTGGGGGTCAGGGGTCCTGGCCCCCCTCAAGGGGAAAGGGCAGATCTGCATCCCACCCGCGCTCAGCGCTGGGTTTGATGCTGTGCCTGCAAGACTGGCCCCCGGAAGCAGGTGCAGTATGGGGGGCGGTGTGGGCAGTTAGCGATTGATGCACGGCTCCTGGCCGGCAGATGGCCTCCTGTCGCAGGGTCGGAGGTCGGGCACGTCCTGCCCAAGTCCCAGGCCCACACAAGGGCTCCTTAACACAAGGTGACGTGTGAGACCAGCTCAGCCTGGCCTAGGACCAGGGTCAGGGTGCTCTGTCTTGAGTCTGTGGCATCCAGCTATGTTCCTTGGAACAGGGTTGGGGTTTCTGCACCCCCATTCCAGTTTCCAGCTCCCCCTGAGGCCCTGCCCCTGGCCTGTGATCCCCAGACCGCTGGGGAGGCTGGATGCTCTCCCGTCGCTTGCCCTGGGCCCTGGCAGGGGCCTGTCCCTCGAGGGCTTTGGGAGGTCGAGGCCCAGGTGGCGATGAATGTGCCGGCCATGGGCCACTGTCCCTCCCTCCTGGTCAGACCCTGCCCTCAGCTCTGAGGCCACCAAGGCCCTCGGCACTTGCAATCAGGCACCACAGTGAGGTTGTTCTGCAGTTTGGGGGACCCGGCTCATTCCCGTGGCCTCTGTGGGCCCCTCCACGGGTGCTGCTGGGAGTGGGCCGGCAGTGCCCGGGGGGTACCTGCTCCAGCCTCTGCGCACCTGGGGGCCACGTCCCCTGCCGTGCGGCCGCAGATAGAGGCCGGGGGCCAGTGGGATTGTATCTGCCCCAAGAGGAAGGCCCAGACTTGGCCTGGGGGCCAGAGTTGCCCATGCCTCTCCCCAGAAGAGGGCGAGTGGGGGGTCAGGGCTGGCGGGCCAGCTGGGGTCCCGGGACACGTGGGTAAGGGGCCCCTGGGAGATGAGGAGTCTGGGCTGGTGTTGCCTGGGGGTGGCCGGGCCCCCAGAGACCTGGTCACACCTGGTCAGCGTCCTGGTTGTGAGGCCGGGGCAGGAGGAGCAGGAACAGCAGGAGGGACAGACTGACGCGTGTTCTCTTCGGTCTAGGGCGCGGCTGCCTCAGCCCCTGGCCTGCTGATGACGCACTCAGGTAGGCCCCAGCTCTGGGACAAGGGAAGTGGGGGCGCGGTGGCTGCCTCCCGGCTCGGCCGGAAGCTCTGCACCAGACAGGGAGGCGGGGGCTGGCGGACAGTGGGAGGCCATGGACAGAGGCTGACACGGGCAGTGGGGGGTGACGGTGTGCAGCCTCGAGGAGCCCTGGCCTGGGTGGGGCGGGCCCAGGAGTGGAGGGCAGGGTGCGGCTCGCTTGCCCTGAGGGCTGTGTGCATGGAGTGGGCAGAGTCAGGCTGCCCTGGAGACTCGGGGTCTCCAAGGCCCAGTTGGAAGGCGAAGGCTGGGCAGAAGCTGGCTGTCACCCAGGGGAAGGCCTGGAGGGTTGGGGGAAGCTGAAGTTTGGGGAAGGTTGGCCTTGGGCAGGGTCGGGGGGGTCGCTGGAGGTCAGGGGTCAGCTCCGTGCCTTATCTTCTTGGTGGAGCCTCTGGGCAGGGGGGCCTGACGAGCTTAGACCCTCCACCCTTTAGAGGTGCATGATGCCTGTTGGGGCCGGACCCTGCAGGCTGACCCGGAGTGGACCTTTCGGGGCAGGAGGTGGCAGGCAGGGCCGGTGGCAAAGCAGGGTCCACAGGAAAGGCCCACACCCGCTGGCTTTGGGGTTTCGTGGCTCGGGATAGGGCCCTGAGGACCACCCCTGACAACGCTATCCCGTGACACCCACTCCCAGATGGTCCTGGACACGTCCTCCTGCTGTCCACTCGCCTCCCCGTGGGGCCCTGTGGACATCGTTAACCCTGGCATGGGGTGGGGAGGGGAAGCCTGATGGAGGATACAGACCCTCTCCACTGAGGCCAGGGGCTGGGGGAAGTGAGGCCCGATCCTGGCAAGGACAGAGATGAACTGGG